TATATATATATATATATATATATATATATATATATATATATATATATATATATATATACACATACATATATATACATATATATACATATATATACATATACGCATATGTACACACACACACATGTACACACACACAAACATACACATATACATATATTTAATATATACATATATACATTGAGAGAAATTATCAGATAAAAAATTAATAAACGGATATTTTCGATCAAATTACCGATAAAGTTTTATATCCGATCAGGATATCCGATTAAATTTAATCGAATACTGTTCATAACCATTTCATCAGATAAATTGATAAAAAAATTATGAACCGATGTTTCATCGGATGTTTCTGATCAGATATAGAAATTCATCGGTATTTTGATATGACGTATCCGTTTGTTAATTTCTTATTGAATAATTTCTTTCAGTGTACATATTATATATATTATATGTATACATATATATAAAGCGAGTTATATATATTTATTTATATGTGTCTGTATATATATGTATATCCATGTATATATATGTATATGCATACATGTATATATATATATATATATATATATATATATATTTAGTTATTTATTTACTTATATATAATCTCGAGATGTCACGGTTAAAGGACTAACCATTGAGATATGTTTAATTTGCCATGCGTATATATTGTATTTCTATATGGGTACATGAACAATTATATAATTAGTGTATATATAAGATCGAGAGAGATAGCTCCTTCGTTTTATTTTGATGTATCACAAGGCGCTGTTCATGTTAGTCTTACCTGTAAGTTTAAAAGTAAAATGGCGATGTGTAAACAGTGAACGTTAAATATATTTTTGCTATCGCCTGCGTCGATGGAATGTAAATAACTACGAGCACGTCGTTCTTGGAGTCATTAATACAATTAATGTATTTTACCGTACATCAGCAGAATTTAATCCACTTTTATGAATTTCCGTCAAGTATCAATTCTATTCCTATCGAATGAATCCATTTTGAACTGCTTTCGATGAGCTAACGAGGGGGAGAAATACTTGTTCAAATATATTTATTACAACTTGCTTTAATCAACGCAATATATTTCTTACTAAAAACTTTTGTAAATAGATTCTTAGGAAAATTATGACAATGCGCTTGTCGCAAAACTCAAAGATAAATCTCGTATGGATTCACACTACACGTTAAAGAATTAAATGTTCACTCGACCACAATTATCGACGATTTCTTTAAATGTGAGTATTCGCTTGTCTGTCGATCTTTAATGACTTTGATAGCACTAAGTATCGCTGAATGTCGATCTAAGTTCGATCAATCTCCATATAATTTTAGAACGACGCATAAAGCGATTTTATAATGTCTTAGGATAAAATACTCTAAATTAAGTTAATTAAAAATACTCTAAATAAATGGATTATGAATTCAAAATTCCCTCGATGTAACGATGCCAATCACATCACGAATCAAATTCACGGATTCATATTAATGTTTTATATACAGGGTTATATATAATTACAATTTGCAATCGAAGGAATTTTACGAAATTTACAATTTATTGCTGATAATCTTCAGCAAATGTGAAATAAAATATGTATTTGTCATGTCAAACATTCCAAGAATTTTATCGTGATGCAAATCGTGATCAAGTAATTGTTAATAAGGGATAATTGAGATCTAATGAAGTAAAGTGAGAAATGAAACAATTGTAAACATGAAATTCATGAGCAGGAAGAAAATAGTTAAACCGAATTTTTCTGGTTTATATATGTCAAAATAATAAATAAATAAATGTTACAAATAATTTCCACGTCTTGTGTGTGTTTATTTAATCAGTTTCCACTCTGCTAAAAAAAAAGATTGTTTCCTTCACATTTAATAAAATCTGTCGAAATTAGTTTTGTTTATAAATATTTTAGTATAAGTATTCACGAGAATTTCTAGATTCATATGGAACTGCGATATACGCGACATTTATGTACACTCAACTCACTTGTAGAAACATGAAGTCTGAAATGCAACCATGGGACCAGGGAGAACGCTACCTCTTCTTCTATACGCCATCTGTCGTGATTATTCGGTTGGGCGTCAATAAAAAGAAAGATCGAACTATATTAATATTTTTCCTTCTGTGTTTACAAAGCTCGAGTGGACGCATTGTTTGATTTCACGTCGGGAGCATCATGGCTTAAGCGCTTGCCTAGGCTCGCATTTTGTAACTACAGAAGAAAAAAAATTAGGATTGGGGTGTATCAAGCGTTCTTTCCATTAACGCCCAAACGGATGATCATGACGGATGATGTAGAGGTTGGGGAATAGCACGCGAAAGGGGAAACGTCCCTCTGGCTTCACATGTTGCCTTCCAGATTCCATGTTTCCCCAGTGTACATTTTAATACACTTTCAAATTGTGCAAAACTTCGAAGCAAATGAGGAATGGTATACAATAATTGAAATGGTGCACAATAATTAACACATAGCCAAATATTTTGTCATGTTGTGCATTTATTTGATTCTATATGTTTGTAAATGTTGCACTCTACGCCTCCGTCACGGCGATCACTACAATTTTTCTAACAAATAACGAAGGTCGCGCGAACAATGAAAACAAAACGATCACTTACGAACGTATCAATTACTTTCTTAAATATCGCACCTTGTACATTTTTTTTAAAGATATTCGGACTAAAAGTCAACATTCTAATTTCTACAGTTATATGCATATAACTTCATGCACAAGAAGTTCAATTATGTACCGTGAAATAAATTAACACTATTAACATAATAAAAATATATATGTATCTATTTATATAATATTTTTTCGTCAATTTCATACCTTTTTATGTAAGGAGGTTGTAAAGAAAAAGTAAGTTTGTTAAGAATTCACTGAAACTTGTACTAAATATAAATTGAAATATTATCTAACGGCTCATGCAATTAGAAAAAAAATTGACCATTCTAGAGTTAAAGTATTTTAGATAATTTATAATTTTATAATTCATAATTTATAATACTAAAAAAAATATATATACATATATTTAAACACTTATATACCTTTTTCTATTATCAGTGCATTTTTGTTAGATTAACTAATGCACAAATAGAAACATTAATAAGAAAAATAAAAAATAATATTTTTTGTATTTGTAATATATTGTGTATACATATCCCCATCTTAGTATTATCTCAAATTTACTACTTAGGTAGTGAAATAAATATATTAAAAAGTAATTTTGTTCGATAAATAATAAATTTATAAATGGTCCTCATCGAAAATATGATATTGAGCCTTACAGCCTCCTTAAAAACGTTTTATCAGTTGACAAAGATTGAGAGAAATGTCGTTTCAGACGTTCCTTGAGGTTTTCCCAAAGATTCCTACGAGAAAATTACTCCCTTCTTTACGATTTCTGGATTTCTCATGATTTCTTTGTGAGAATTCGTTCAGGACGAGGCAACGTAATGAAGCATGCGCATTTATTATCGCTGTAAATATGCTAATCAACGTCTAGTCGCGAAAACGATTTCGGATCATCAGGTTTTCGCGAACATGAAAATGACATTCAATCGAATACTGTCATTAACATGTGAATAGCGTACACGTGATGCATTCCGACTAATATTTACTGGCGTTTAGTGTAATGGCCACACTTTCGGCAAAATTCCCCGTTGTCGTCGTCCCCTTCGTTCTCCTTACGTTTGATCGAGTTCTCCCTCGAAACTCGAATGAGATCCAAATCGCCTGTGTAAGGCCGATGACCGATAGCGGCTATAGTCTCACTTCTAGGAATGCCTACGTCAGCAGAGGCGATGGCCATCGCGTTGTCGCCGTTGTCTTCCGCGTCTACATTGATCGATCCGTTCACCACCGCGTAACTAGAGCCAGTCTTCGAAATAGGCTTCCTCTTGATAGCTTCGGAATTATCCGAGTCCTCCAAATACTCATGAGCAAACGACTCGTCTGTAATAATCGTGTCTTACTTTATAATATATTCCATTTATTTCGTCTAGTAAATTTAAAGAAAAATTTTATAATTGCAACTATATAGGTGACAATTACATGAATTTGCATATAAAAAATCACAATGTATATAGTTTAATAAACTGTAGTTATAGTTTAATAACTGTTACTTTGTAGTTATTGCAATTAAAGTTTTAGTTGCAACAACTATAAAATAGTTTACTAAACTAAATACATTAATTTTACATACAAAATTTATATTGTTGTCTATATGGGATCTATGTGGGAAATAACTGGGTTGTAAATATTAGACCTGAAAACAACACGAAAAGTTCATATAAACATATGTTCAATAGTTCCTAAGATATAAGACTTCTAAGATTCTGCAGGACACACATTCTAAATAAACCCCTATTTGTGTACAAAGTATGGTAAGTACTTACTTAGAGTGCTGTTAGGCCCATTTTATTGTTGACATACAACGCGCGTTTATACTCGGCAAGTCCGTACATTAAATGCATGTTTGCCGTTTTGCGATTGGAATAAACTTTTCTTGATTATAGTGACTTGTGAGGAGACATATTGGTTCCAGCTAATAGTAGTATTCGTAGTTCTTGGCGTCCAACATGCGTTAGATATCAGCAATGAAATGGATCTAACAACACTCTGAGTTAATACCTACCATACGTGTACATAAATGGAGATGTATTTAAGGTGTATGTCTAGCAGAACTTTGGAATCCCTATATCCCTCTATCTAATATAGGACATAAATAGACTCGTGTTATTTTGAAGTCTACTATCCACATCCCAATTACTTCCTACATAAATCCATACACTCTGTATAGTTGTCATCACCATGTCTTTTTCTTTGAGTCTTTTTCTTTGATCCCATTATTTCCTTTCTATTAATTTATTATTATTATTATTATTATTATTATTATTTCTATTCATTTATTCTTTCTATTAATTTAATTAAGTCAGTCAAAATATTCAATTTTCAATAAAAAACGTCAAATATATGTAACAATGCTGATAACATCCCGCTGCCGTAACGTTGGTGGAAGATTATAGGTCAGAGACATCAGAGATTATTGCATTAATAAATAATTTGTTTGCTTTGCATGCGAAGGATAATAATAGAGTAAAATTTGACTCAAAAATCGGACTGAATGTGTTTACATGACCCAAAATGTCTATTATTATTAGTTATTTACTGTTAATAATGTTAATAATGTTACTGTTATTATTTATTTTATTTCATTTTACTTGTTTTATTTACTTTCGTCATGTAAATGAACGGACATATACGCACCATTATCATATTCATCCGTTTTATCAATATCAGACGTTGAATCGCACGTTCCCGCATAATCTTCATCTTCTTTCATTAACGGTAATTCGGGGGGACCCGAGAGAGGACGGCTACAAACGTATCCCTAAGAAGAGCACACTCGTCAAATATAATTTTGTCATACAATTTATATAAAACTAGCAAGGTATCAAATATTAAACAATTAAATATAAAAACAAGGCGACTTTAGTGTACCTGAACGAGATCCATACGAGAATCTAAGGAGAATTGCTTGCCTGACATTAGTATACCGCGAATGCGACGACGCATAGCTGAAATAACAGAGTCGAGATATAAGTCCGCTTGTCAATCGCAGAAACCTGTATGAATACATTTTCGCGCTTTTTCAGTTTTTTGGGATTGTATTGACATGCATTCGGATCACGCGCTAGCAAATACTTGACTAAAATATTTGTCCAACTCTTTATATAATTCTAATAATATATTTTAGAAAATCTCTCACCCGGACTGTCCCTCGCTTCGAGATGAATTTTCCCGAAAGTTTTCATGCATTCTTCAAATACTTCAGCCGCGTCATATATGGCAGCGAAACTGCCGTTCACGATTTTCGGCGACATCGGTGAATTAGCCAGTAGCAAGCTCGATCCAAAATTTTCGTTCTTCTGTCGCGTATCTGCAAATCGTCAAAATTACTTGTACATATCTAATCGAAAGATCGCGATAATACCATATTAGATATTATCGAATAAAACGTTTATCTCCATAGTCCATTTCGAAAGAAAAATAGAAAGTAAAAAAATAAATAGAATTGTTCGTAACTTACCTTCAGACAGTGTAATGTGTGTCAAGTGGGCGTGCAGTGTGTTCATAATAATAAAACAATAAAAAAAGAAACATATAAGGAAGACAGGAATATTTATTAACAATATCATCCATTATAACTTAATAGAAGTAATAAATATGTGCAAACTTAAAATACTAATACTATATTGAAATAAAAATTTAACATAAATATATAATTTTTATCTAGCAAAAAACTTCAACAAAAAAACTATTAACAAATCTTGTTATCTTCGCACAAAAATCTAGACTATCTAAACAATCGAAGAAAAGAAATTTTTTTCTTTGATTGATATTGTAAGTCTTTCGCTAATTGATATAAATTAAAAGAAATACTTATCCAACTATATGTACTATACAAGGTGTCCCAGAATAACCTTCGGAGCTCTCGTGCAGTTATAGTGCAGATTGAGGTGAACATGAAAGTTCTACACTGTTTTGTAACTACAATAATTATGGAGATATTAATTAAGGAAAATCTGTGAATGATCACACGAGATAGAAAGCTATAATGGTGATGTCTGCCATCGTGTATTTATACATTGGGTCAAACTAAACAAAAAAATCCTCAACTATTTTTTAACTTTGAAAATTATTAATTATTAATTAAAGAAGATTAGCAAATAGTCGCAATAATATATTAATGTTATCTAATGAATAATTAAGAATCTATAAAGTTATTAGAAAAAAGGATTTATTTGTAAAGACTTTTTCGTTCAGTTTGACATACACGAAAAAAAAGATTTGCTAATATATGGACGACTAAAAATATTAACTGCAGGAACAAATTTTCTTGCTTTCATAGGAAAAGTTATTTAGTTGTGATAACTGAATAACTTTTACTATGAAAGCAAGAAAATTTGCTCCTGCTGTTAATATTTTTAGTTGTCCATATATTAGCAAATCTTTTTTTCCGTATAAGGAACTTTTGTTCAGTTCAACCTAATGTACAATACATACGAGCTAAATATCGCCACTACAGCTTGTTTACCATATCTCACGTAATTATTCATAAATCTTCTTTAATTAATATCTCGATACATATTGCGAATATTGCAAAATGGTATAGAACTTTTATATTCATCTTAATCCATACTATGCCTTCACGAGAGCTTCGAAGATTGTTCTGAAATACTTTGTATACACTTAAGTAAAATAGAAAATCATGTTGACCTCGAAATTACGAAAAAGTGATCCAACGTGATTGAAAAGTGAGTTTCTTTCACCATTTTCTTGTAATTTTGACACCATCGTAATTTTTTGTTTTGCTTGGGCAGCAAAAATGTTTTGTCTCATTTTGTCTCTGTAAATCATGTGTATCTTTATAAAATGTTCGTTCGTGAACGAACTTTATATCTGATTTCTTTTATTAATTTTTTTCACTTTCGCGGTGCATAAGTAAGTTTAATTTATCGTAGTTAGTCATGTTAGTATATAAAACAGATGTGTAGTCGTAAACGTGCGAACTTTGTTGACTCAATCAAATGTAGTGTTACCGATTTACAGTTTAACTTGTACAACACGCACTCGCAGCTTATTTCGTAAATAAAACGAATGTCCTTTCTCAAGAAAATAATTTAAGATTATGGGTCTCATTATAAGTTGCTGCGTTAAGCCGTTTGAAGTTTTCTGAGTCCCGCCTCGTTATTACCTGCGAGGGGAACTCTCGGTCGTACAGGTGATGCGGAACTATCACCCAAGATCTCATTTGCGGTATTTCGTATTTCCGCCCAATCCCTTAGAATGTCCTCGTTCGTCGTGCTGAAAGAAGCACGGTTCCATTAAATGCGCTGCAACAGTTCTAATCCAATAAGTTACAATACGTTTATTCTAATCGCAATTGTAGAAACGAGAAATATTGTAAAAGATTTTTCAAAAACTTTTCTTCGTGAAAAATAGGTAAATTTTCAATGACTAAATCTTGATAAGTTTCACTCCAGAAAACGTGACAAGGAATGCAATAGTTGTCTGATAGTACAGTATTACTTCTTAATTCAATTTATAAAAATATTTATGATTATAGATATATGTAATGCGATAAAGAAAGATGATTAGATGAATATCAGTACGTATAGAAGTATTTGTGAAGGCGTACTTCGTCGAAGTAACCGTGAATCTTATGACGTATTTCCCGTGCAAAGCGGCTGGCACGCAATGAAGCCGACCCCGTGAATTAAGCTTCTTTAGCAAACGCTCCGTCAAGGTATTCTCGCCCCGAAGACGGAAAGCTACCATGCCGAGGTGCCTGGTTGCAGGGATCTCAAAACGCGCGTCGGCCAAAACCAAAGCTTCGAATTTTTGCGCTAACCTCACGCCCTGCGAACACGTGTCTTCAGTTGCACATTTTATCAGTTGTGAAAAGTAAGAAATAGTTAAATTCGATGTAGCTTATACCTTCCAAACATTTCTTGTTTGTTTTATAACAGTCTCGGACTTTTAGCTGATTGAAAAGTTACGGATGCTTATTGCTTACCTCACGTATATGCTTTTGCAAGCCAATAATTCCATAATTCCTGATAACGAACCACAATTTCAGCGCTCTGAATCTCTTAGACAAAGGAATTTGCCAATGCTGGAATCATAAAAGAATGAAATTATTAAATAGTTATTACATATTACATATTGCTGATTTAACAGTCTTATAAGCTGCTTAATTAACAGTTATATAAACAGTTATTACTTGTTTTTTAATACATAACGTTTAATTACGTAATAAAAACATCTGTTGAGATATTTAAGGGTAATTAAAAAATTGCATAATTTTTGTAATAGTCCTCTTACTCCAAATAAATTATTTTATTTTGTTTTACAACAATTGTTATAAAATATAATTTTGCTACGTACCATATAATCGATCGCGAGACCTGTGTAAAAATAAAAGTGTTTTAACAAAATTACATTTTTATTTCGATAAGTAGTGTATCACCCGTAAAAGAAAAGTAACTGTTAATTTTTAATTAAAGATAAAAATTAAATTAAATTATATTTAATTAAATTATAAGAATTACCTGAATTCTCATGCTTCAAATATAGCGGATCTACATTAAAGGTCCTGTGTAATGCTTGGCTATTTTTCACCCTGAAATAGAACGCGCAAACCGGAAAAAATTAATTTTCCGATTTCCTTTTTAGTTCTTTATACATATTTTATTATACATCTTTAGATGAGCACAAAAAAATATACTCTTCTTAATCTAATTTCCCGGCTCACTTTGCTCACGTTTTCAACGTGTTTTATCAAATCTGCGCGCGCGTTATTTACAGAAGTAAAAACCATTCGAGGAAAACTTTATCGAATACTTATTTTAAATTGCTATCTCATAAAACATATACAGCTGTCACGATTTCGCAGTCTCATATCGCCAATTTTGATGTCTCCAAATGCGTTTATTAGATGTTACTTCATGCTATCGACTTTAAACGCAACTCAAATAATATTCCGAAAGATTGCAAACCTCGTTCAATCGTTGGAACAGTCTCTAAAGCGGAAATTGCGGAAGGAACGGAAAAAGATGGCCGTGCATCCGTGGCTCGACCAATAAAATGAAAATCATAGAACAATATTTCTTCTTACGAGGCGCGCACGATTCACAGAGATAATCAACCACGTGTAATCAATTACTGTTCATTATATATGTTGAAAAAGTTGCGAGATCCGATACTTATTTCTGATCTCATCTCAATTTACAAGCACCGGATTATCGTGCAAAAATTTGTGGATCGTCGTCCATGCTGAATTAAAGCAACTAAGGCTTGTTCGTAACTTAGTAAAAAGAATGACTTTAACGTGGCGTTATTCGTACCACATAGCCGTGCAATCGAAATGGACCATGAGCCACTTGCTGGGATTGAAGGCGATGGAGTCGGCAAGCTCCACTCCTTGAAGCCAACTGCGAAATTCGGGACATATGAACGCGCTACCTGCATACGCTGCGTCGATGTGCAACCATAAGCCATTCTGTTGACCTACGGGAAATGCCGCAAAATGTTTACTAATGCACCGCTTTGAAATAGGATCCATGAAAAAAATAGTTTAACATTGAAATAGTTTTATCGTTAGGTGACATATTTTCAGTGACGCGAGAAAGTTATTTATAAATTTATTATTTATCAAACAGGAAGTTATGTTTCTATACATTTATTTCGCTATTTAAATATCACTGTTAATTTGAAACGAAATTGAAATAAATATATACATATATAATAAAAAATAATAAAAACATAAAATTAATGTTATTATTATTGTTATTGTTATTATTAATCATATATATAATTTATTATATAAAATAATATATATATATATGTATAAACCTATTTTTTTTTTAATTTTTCTGATAAGTGTTTTGTTCAGTACATATCATAAAACTTTTATGAGTTTCGTGAGAATTTCGAGACACAACTATCTTAAGCGTGAGTGATATCTTTAGAATATTTGGTTTACAATAAATTTTATGTACTCACATATCGGTCCGATTTCTTTGAGATTATCGAACGAACACGCACCAGTGGTGCCCAGCGTTGCGCACACCTACACAAATAATAGGATTGTTCTACAATGAAAAATTACCTCAAAATCAACAAATATTTCTTTGATGGGTGCCATTAACATATTTACTTAAATCTAAATTCTCTTTATTTAAATCAAATATTGTTTGCTTGATTTAAATGAATATTTGATTTAAATAAAGAGAATTTATATTTAAGTAAATATGTTAATGGCACCCATCAAAGAAATATTTATTGATTTTAACTTAATTTTTTAATTTTTCCCTCAGTGTACAATATTCAGAGAAGAAAGTTCTTTTTATCTAAATAATTAAATTAATTGAGACGAATCGTTATGTGTGTGTGTGTGCTTTCGTTTGTTATATATATATATATATATATATATATATATATATATATATATATATATATATATATATAAAGCGCGGGATGTAAAATGTATTGCGACAAGTCAAAGTGTATTTTTTAAAGTAATATACAAAAATTATTTAATATAATAATTTATGTATGTAATTTAATCTCTTTGAGGAAACAATATAACTTTATAAAATACGATATAATAAAATCACAAATTCAATAATAACTAACAATTTATTTTACAAAAACATTTGTGTGAAAACTTCTTTGTTTTTTTCTAAAAACACAATCTAGCCCCTGAAGTGACGATATAATTAACTGACATCGGAGGAGAGTTGATTCTTGAGCGTAATATGCAATATAACCTCGGCGGAAACGTGTTATTGGCGATCGTTTTAACAAAATTTGCGGAAAGTAGCGTTTCATGAGGGAGAAGTTCGAATCATAATAAAAATTTCTCGTCCTAAATAAGAGTCGCAAGACTCAAAGCGGACTAGGAAGTTCCTGCGGGACCAACTAGTGCGAGGTCAATCCGACTTGGCTCGCCATACCCGCTTTGTCTCTTTCTACTTACGGGGAATACGCCAGTAATTGGCGAGGTGGTCGGTTTACGCGTATACCTGAACTACTGGTTTATGTGACACAGTCTTTGTGACTACGGATTTAGTCCTTATGACGTTATTAAACCTACCATACTTCCTACGACTATATTGTTGCAAAGCTAACAAATGAATAATATAAGAAAATTATAAATGATCGCGCAAAAGTATGTAAGAAATAATTACAAATAAGAATTACATATAAGAATAGTCATTTTCAAATAGCGTTTTAAGAAGACAATCTAATGAGAAAGATAATTAATGAATTTATACGTTACATTAATAAATTTATAGAACAGATAAATGTCAATAATACTCTCAATAGTAGTATTAATTAAATATTATTATTAAACAAACGCACAGCATGTTTCTGTGAGAATTTTATTATATTTAATGATAACTATATTTAATGATAATTAATTTAATGATAATTATATTTAATGATAATTATATTTAACAAAATGCTAAAATAACTATAACGAATTAGTAAATCGATATCGTTTAGTTATCACAAGGCACATCAATATTCCAATAATTCTAGTAAATTTCTCCGTAGGACAAAAGATGACCAATATAGAATATATTCAACAAATAATCTGTGCGTAGATATATTATAATGTATTTGTATTTTACGTTAAATTAAGAGAGAAGAATATGAGTCAGGAAAATTGGTGAAACTTACAAAGAAAGGAAGTAGACCGTCGGCTCGATCGCGCGTTAATGCCTCGAGTAAAGCGTCACCTCTCATGCTTAATTCACTGTCAGATTCAATATATCGCATTCGAACCAATCCTATGAGTCCAGCCTTCTCCACACTTGAATGAGCCTGTTATACAAGCAATGAGAAAAAATCAGAACACCTCAAAATGTTAAGATAATTTTTTAAAGATTTAGAAGAATCTTAAAGAGCAAAATTGTTCAATTAAGATTTTTCTATTGCTCCACCGAAATCTATATCTTTGTGTAACTTCTCTAATTAAAAAAAATTTTAATCCTAAAATTATAACACATATTTTTAAGCACGCTTCTTTCACAAGATGGTGAGATAAGACAAAAGAGTCTTTTAATCTTTTTCGCATTGCTATCCGAGGACTTTCGCGACAAAACTCTTTAATATTCAAGGAAACTTATCCGAGCGTGAATAAATATCCGCATTTATCTGCATTTATCCTGCATCTGAGTGCGCCGTAAAAAGCTCTCAAAGGACTACCTGACAAGCCCGCGTTCGCAGTAATACGCAGTGTTTGCTGCTTTTACAGTCATTAACGTAAATTATTTCGCTGCTTTTTCGCGCGATTGCTCCCAACCGTCGCATATTTTCGAATAAAGTGTCACGAGCGTTTGTACACTCGTTTTTTACATTTCTCGAACGCTTTTATCCCGATTTTATCGTGCTTGGCGAGAGGTTGGAACTGCCGTGGACTACAAACCTGGTCCGAACAGTAGGCGACAAGCCGCGAGTTGATTTCGGTCGCCATACACTCAGGATCGTTCTCCTGCACATCTCTGATCGCTCTGGTTCTGGCCGCGAGCAAGCATACCAGCGTGGCTTCTGACGCCGTTGTTTGAATAACGCCACCGCCGCCGGAACCGCCCGGTCGATGTAAGAAATCCTCGGGCAAACCGATCATTTTACCCAGCCAATTCATCACGATGGTCTCTAACTCAGTGCATGCCGGGCTGGAAGCCTACGCAAACGAATAATGTGACAATCGCGTTGTACTGTGACGACTGACTGTTCAATCGGACTGTTTGCAAGTTAAAATAGTTCTCTCTTTAAATATCGACCTATAACTCGTCTTCGTTATTCAACAGTTGAAAGATATAAGTGGTATATCGGACGATTTCCAAATTCGACGAGATATACAATTTACATGAGTCATATGCTTCACATTCTGCAAAAAGATATTTTATAAAATATTCCAGAAATATAATGAGTAACTTTAAATCCTGCTAAAATAGAAGAGAATGTCTTAATCGATATCTTAATTAATTTAGAAGGATCCAATTACAATTATCATGAATATTTGCGAAATGATTAAACGGATTATTTAAAGTATCAAATGTGTTCAGATATTTAACGTGTCCTATTTTAAATAATACTTTTTAATATCTTTTCTGTAACTTGTAAAATTTTTCAAACAAAAATTGTATGATTCGGAGGGAGACACAAAATAATGAAGTCAGTTCGACCTTGCCAGTGATAATATCAAGATTATATGAGGAAATTTTTAAATGGAATTATATAATTTTGTTAACATAAATTGATTTCTACAGTTATTTTGTTTATAAAAATATTAGAGTAAAATAGATATTATTAATATTTTCTGATTAATATTTTACATTTAGTTTTATATTCTCAAATACAATATATGAAAGTACAAAGTTTGAAATATCTCATAAACTATCTATTTTTCGATAATCTTATCGTTCGATAATTTTAATATTTTAATACGTTTATGTTAGAATTATGAGAGAAATCGATCGGTAATATTAATTTTTTTCTACTGATAATCAAAGAATCTGCAAAATGCGATTTTTTATTTAAGATTTCTCTATATTTTCTTACAACAATCTATTTCTCTCATAATTCTACATACAAAAGATAAGTTTGTTGAAAAGTGAATAGTTTGCAAAATATTTCATATTTTGTACTTAAAAGTATGAAAATAAAATATAAGATATCTCAAAAAATATTCACTTTACGACAATTTTATATTTTACGACATTTTACGAATATTTTTTATACATAGAATAACCAAAGAGATTGATTTATGTTAACAAAACTAGATGATCCGATTTAAAAATTTTAATGTGATCTTTATGTGACCTTAGTATTACCACGCAAGGCTTCATTATTGAATTGGTTTCATTATTTTATGCCCCGCTCCGAACCATGCAACTTTTGTCTAAAAAATATTTGTCTATGACGAGTTATAGAAAAGATATTAAAATGTATTATTTAAAATGGGACACTCTGTATCTGAAAAGACCAAAATACGCGACGTTTATACGCTCACCCACGTAAAGCCCAGACAGTTTATGGCATCGGCCAGCATGTCGCCTAGTAAACTGGCGGGTGAATTCAGAGCTGGAAAGTAAGCGTGCATGTGCGGACTCTGCCAATGCGTCACACCCGGCATGATGCATCTCTCGATGTCGGCGAATATATCCTGCCAAGGCTCACCGTCCACCGGTGCCGACGCTGGTAGGACGTTCCTCAGGTATCCCGGCGAAACTGCCGGATACACGCGCCGAGAACGGATGTTGCCCAGGTAATCGGCGATGTAATCCACCATTTCTTTGCCTACGCAATATTTTATGTATACTTAATCTCCATCTTAGACGATTTAAAGCTATTGGGTCGATCAAAAAGTTTTATTCGATTTTTTAGTCAAACCCCTGGTAGAAATGTATGGATATTGTGAGGACATCCGCTACATAGTTATATTCTAGTAGTAATGCATTTTCATTAGTAAAAATATTACGTAGGAACTAGAGAAGAACTTGATAATGTTTAATGTATAATTTAGTATACGATATATTGACCGATTTAAACTATAATGTCTGTAATATTAATTCAGTTTTATGATGTATTATAATGTTTATCGTAAATAAATTTGAAACATATTTATTTGTATTGTTAAAAAGGAGCTGAAAATTACGTGAGCAATGAGTGAACATATAGAAAACCATAGAGAAAGAAAAAAGAGATTAGAGAAAATAAGACATTTGATGATATTAAGCCATAATGAAAATAAGCAAAGTTAGAAACGGAAGTGAGCAAGAATAGGGCATATGTGTTAGCAATGCAGAATTTCATTGCGAGAAGAACACATCAAACTCTGATGGTAATTGTACAAATGGAAATTGCCAGGATAATCCAGACTCAAAACTTGATAAAATAGTACAACTACAAGAATAAATAAAAAGATGTTATTATAGTATTTAATTATAGTGATGTTATATGAAAGGCGAGGATTATGATAGAGAAAATAAATATTACGCACCAAAAATCTCTTGCGCTATGACTCTCTATAGCGTTAATATTTTTTCAATTACAACAAAAAATGAAATATCAAAAATGAAAAAGCGTAAACCTGTCCACTTTGTGAACAGCAGATTTGATTATTAATCAATTGGATAGTTTCTTATCATTTTACGTGTTTATTCAGTAAATGAATTCAGATTTCGCGTATCTTTCGTACACCGAAATTGTAGAAAAATATCTTGATTGAAATTTCAAGTAGTTTTACTTTTCATTTATTGGACAAACGTTAATATAACTGTCCAGTAAATGCTACCAGTAAAACTACAGATTTCTACCAGGAGACTTTATTACATTCAAAACAAGTTAATTATGAACTAATTAACTTTCCATTGGCGATGGATCATAGACAGCGATAATTAGATGATGAATAACTTGTTTCCATCGAATGTAATAAAGACGAATTTGTCAGAATCAAACCAAACTTTTCGACTTATTCAATGCATGTAAAGTGATTCTTCTACTCGTGACAGTTTCGTAAATATTTTTCTCAACCACAGCGAATCAATAAATTAATTCCTCGATTACTTGCAAAAATTACGAGTAAAATGACTATTATGAGAATTGTTTCTGAAGCATTTCCTCCTCTTGACTTGGTATCGAGATTCACTTAGCATCATTACTTTATGTCGTGAAACGCTAACACAGTAAAATTGAAAATCGTTAGTAAACACATTGCAGGGATTAAGTTTGCGGAGACTCTTCGCTTAAAATTTAGCGCGCTCGTCACCTAAGCTGAAAGCAATCGTGAAACAAAAGGTGCTTTGAGGTATCGAGAGGTTGTTCCGTACTAAAGCAACAATGCGATTTTACAAAGGCTCTATTCCGTGCAATATTGTGATTCCTTCTTGTAGTCGTTTAAAGAGAGAGAGAGAGAGAGATCGTCCTTTCGGACTCACGTATCTCAAAAAAGAAGCGCGTTATCCGAAAGCGTATTTTATTTTCAGAGAGAACAAATAATTTCCGGAAATTGTTTTTTCATTATGATTAACTCAACACAGAGAGCTGCTCCTACAAACACGTTTCAGTAAAGAAAGAGAAATAAGCAAATAAAATTTTTCTTGCTTGTTGGTAACGATTATGGATAAACGGATAATCTCACGTCGCGATGTAAAACGACACGTATTGCCTACAAATCGATCCTAATACGCCAAAACGGCAGGACGAAGCGACCGATTACGGATTGAAATCGCGGAAGGGAAAATCGAATTCAAGCCAAGTCGTAGCGTGTGACTTAAATTGTAAACGTCGGGATACCGTATCGGAAACAATATCGTACCTACCGAAGGCTCTACCAATTCTATCGGTGATCTCTATTTATCGGCGCCATTTCAGCGTCGCGCGAAATGTCTCGGAATTGCTTGATTTATTTATCGGAACGGATTTTATAACGTATCAGTCTGATATAGCTGAATTTCTGTGACATATACAGCGCGTCATCAAAAATTCACCAGCATTAAAATTTTCGCAGAATATTGATTTTCGATTATACATATTTAAGCTAAATTATATGCAGGCAGAATACAAAACTTTAATATTATCTTGTAAAATGATTCCTCGATATATTGCGTAAACGATCATGTGTTTTATTATTTTTAATATTGTGCTTATATATATTTATACGTATGTGTGTACATATTCACTTACCATGTTTGCGATATTCCTCCAAATTCATTCTACCTGTAACAATCCACAAGAACGTGACGTTTATTATTTATTAATCGCTAATTTTAATATCGCAGAAACATACTCAAAGTATTAAAAAAAAAATCAAAATAATGCCTCTTACACTGAAAGAAAATAACATGTAAGGAATAGTAAATATTTAATCAGTGGATACTAATCACATACTTATTAGGACCTTAACTTAGTTTCCGCCCGCAAATGTTAGATGGCAATGCAAACAGTTCTAGTAGTCATTACTAACGAAACAGGTAGTTTGTGATTAATTTCGACATTTCTCGATAACATTCAGTCAGCATACACAATTATTTTCCTAAACAACAATTTCTTTTGCTTTGTGAAAAATGGAACGCGATAAAGTGTTTTTTCGACATGTGCTTTTGCACTATTTTGATTTGAAAAAAAGTGTAGCAGAAGTTCATC